TATAAAACTGTCACAGATGTGATGGTTTCAAAGCCTGTGATATTCCATATGGAAATTATATGGAATTATATGAAACATGATTATATGGAAATTTCAGAGGCAATAATAAATTAATTCCAGAGCCAATCAAATTTTGGATGTATTTTGTTGTGATGTACGTTTGTGAGCGTATGAAAACTGATTGAATTTACGCAATTTCAGGTCAATACTAACAGGTCTATATAAACCAACATCAGGTACAGCGTTTGTCTACGGCATGGACATTCGTACGCATATGGCGGCCATTCGAGACTGTTTGGGAATGTGTCCACAACATAATGTTCTCTTTGATAAGTTCGTTTTTGCTTCTGAGTTTTGAGTGATTTTTATTATTGAGCAGCAGCTCTGATCAATTGGATTATTTGAATTGATCGAATTATCTGCTGATCGATCGTGCACATTCTTAATCTTAATCGAATATTTTGTGTAGGTTGAATGTGGAAGAGCAACTGAAATTCTACGGTGGTCTGAAAGGTTTACGTGGTGATGTGCTTGACGCAGAAGTGCAATCGATGCTTGCCGATATTGGTCTGGAATCGAAACGTGATCAAATAGCTAGTGATCTATCGGGTATGTTTGTTAGGAGTTAGTGGGGCGAGGGGTTCGTTATCATTCGATGATAAGTGAAAATTATCATTTGTTACCTAATAGTATAAAAAGAGAAAGACTGCCGATCTATTTGTTATCTAAAAAGATCTATTTGTAGAAGAGCCAACTGCCGTTTGTGATTAATCTGTAAAGATCAGTTTGGTGAAATCAGTGTTATCGTTGAGAAATTTAGGTGGAATGAAACGCAAACTATGCATTGGAATTGCTCTAATGGGTGGATCAAAATTGGTGATTCTGGATGAGCCAACGGCTGGAATTGATGCACATGCGAGACGTTCAATATGGCACCTGCTTCTGAAGCATAAACAAGGTGCGACTGAAAATGTTCTTTGAGACCAAAATGTTTTCGTTTGTTTTTGTAATCGCATTTGTTTAACAGGCGATTTATGGTTTAGCAGGCGTTGGCTGCACTGTTATTGTTGTGATTCATTGAAACAGGATAGTGATTCAGGTAGGGTAAGGGTGATGTTATGATGAGGAAGGGAAATAAATCATTTTTG